ACGGACCTGCTCGTGGCGCTTGAATCGCAGCTCACTAGTCCCATGCTAGCTGAGCCCGATTCCCCAAAGCGCAAAAAAGTCGCGGTCGGTGGGCATTCTATGGCAGGTGCCGTGCAACCTGCTGCCCGCGATTCGATTCCAGCTCAGCTGCCAATCTTAGGCTCAAATGGTACTAAGATCGGGGGCAAGAAGTGATTCGGTACCCGAAGTTGCTGGAACCGATGTGCCGCCGCTAGGAACTTCCGCTCTGTCCGATCAAAATAAAGCAGTGGCCCTCATGTAGACTTAACGTCCGGATTACCGGCCGATACTGGAAGTACAGATACAAATTCTGTAGTACCAAAAAGGGTTGCATTACAACACATGCAAAAACGGTTACTTGTGTTCGGGTGCCCCAGCTAAAACATGTATTTGTTTCACGGCTCGCCCCAGACCTCTCATCCCTGAATATTACGGCATATATCCGTAACAAATTCCAAGTTGATGATTTAAAGGTCGAACAATTTAAATTTTCTTATGCTAGGAAAGTATCATCATTTAAGATAGGTATTTCCTTGTGCTCTTTTTGCATCTGTGTGTTCCGCCAGTTTCTGGCCCTATTGCAAAAGAGTACGAAGTCAAGAGAAAAAAGAATAATTCCGGGGATTTGGAAAATACCATTAAAGAACCATTCCCAGCGCCCTCCACACCCTCTTCTGTCCCAAAAAAACTAGCCTCCTCTTTTCTTCTTTCCTATCAGAACACTAGAGCCTTACTTAGTAGGCTGACTAAATTGTACTCGGATAGTTTTTCATTCCCATATAATATTATGGTATGTACAGAAACCTGGTTAAGGCCGGATTTTCTTAGCTCCAAAATTCTCCCGGGTAAGTACAGTCCAGACGGGGAGGTGGAGTTCTGATTGCTGTCGACTCAACCCTTTCCTCTGAATTACTAACATTCGAAGACTTTAATTATAAAATTATCGTTTCCCGGTAGTTTTGTATATATTACTTGTTCATATATCCCACCATCATCTGAGTTCCCTATTTACGCCAATCACCTTTCCGTTATTCATTCCATTTCCAAAAAACTGTCAGATTGAGATCAGTTAATAGTATTAGGTGGTTTTAATATACCTAGTGCGAAATAGTCCCCAGACGAAAACTCTAATATTTTACTTCCTTTAGCGCAGCATGACTTTATTGACGGCTTGCTTGACATTGCGCTATTCCAAGTGAACCATGTTAAAAACTCCTAAGGAAGTTTACTGGACTTGTGTTTTATTTCAAATCCAGAAGCCGTTTGTCTATTAAGAACATCACCACTTACACAACTGGAAGATCCTTATCATCCAACTCTAGGAACTCTAGCTGACCGTAGATGCAAGAACAGAGCTGAATAAAAAAACAGAAAAGTCGGAGATACGAGTCCGCTGCTTTCGTAAGGCAAACTTTCATCTTTTAAATACTTTCATATTCGGCTATGACTGGTCCGAATTTTATTCATGCACTAACATGGCTGAGGCCGGTAATATCTTTTATAATGCATTGAACTTCTTCTTTTATCTGTGTGTTCCGTTATACTATCCGTCAATTTCAAATAAACCTCCATGGTTTAAGCCTAGTACTCAGATCGACGAAAACCGTATGGCAGTCATGAGAGAGCGAGAGGCAAACAGCTGGCGTTCACTTTTCGTCGGGCCTTTTTTTCACGTCGGTCCGCAGATCGACGAAAAAAATACCAGATAATTCCATAGCGTTGCCAGTCTGCTGAAATGAACTTTGGGTGAACCCTAGCGAAAAGAATAAAAAATTTAATCTTTTGTCGTGCGCTTCTCACTGAACATTTTAAAAAATGGAGGGAAAAACTCAAAAAACCCGCAAAATTTGATTGCAGGAGCTTACATGTGAGGACAAAATAACATTAATACTATCTGGGATGCCTCTTGTCAGAGGTCAAAAATTTACGAAAAGACATAATAAAACTGCAGCTATGAACTTCAAATTAGCAAATAATTATCAGTAAATTAAAAAAACAACTGTTAAATTTAAATTGTATTGTTTTTAATTTCTTTGTACAGCGGCAGACTTGTCTTGCCAAGGTGTTTGATAATAACTTTTAAAAGCTCTTTCCCGCAAATACGATGTTTGAATTTTAACTGCTTGTCAACAAACCCAGCTGAGTGAAACTACGACCGTAGCACGCTTAATTCTGATGAACTCTCAAAATTTTGGTCACACTGGAAAGATTAAAGTGTTTACGCTAGCATACTCGTTTGTTGATCAGAGTACTAGGCTTTAATAAGGAGTTGCTACACCTAAAAATGTTAAGTCCAGACTTTTCAATAAATTTACAATATGCAGTTTACAATGTGCCTTCTCTCGATACCAAAGGGCTCGGTCAAATTTTACCGTGCTTAACGCTTGGTTGTAGGGTCCAATTTTCACAATATCCAAAACAGTTTTATAATTTTGTTAACACTAAACATAAATCAGCCTGTTACCCACCATCGCTATCATTTAAAAATTGTACGGCAAATACTGACCAGGCAATTGCCGATCTATTTGCCCAGTTTTTTCAGACAACATATTCTGTTTCATCCCGTCCAAATCCGTCTTATTTAAATGCCATATCCAAGGTTATCCGAGGTTAAGCGAAAGCTCCCTTCTCTTGGATCTCCTTAAAGTTAAACCAGTCTATTCACCGGGTCCCGACGGAGATCCAGGCTGCGTGCTTAAATACTGTGCTGAAACTCTGTGTAGACTTCTGCACAAATGGTTTACCTTGTCTTTGAAAACTTCTCATTTCCCACTTATTTGGAAGGAGTCATTTGTTATTCACCTTCATAAGAATGGAAATAAATCGAACACAAGTAATTATAGAGGCATATCCAAATAATCCGCCATCCCAAAGATTTTCGAAAATGTTATTACACACCACTTGCAACATCTTTGTATATCAAATATATCTCCATGTCAACATGGATTTATAAGGCGAAGATCTACGACCTCTTGGAGCTAACGCCTTTTTTATTAAATGGCTTCAGAAAGAACATGCAGACTGAATTAGTTTACACTGATTTTAGTAATGCGTTTGATTCAGTAAATCACTCGCTTCTTGTATAAAAACTAGACTTATTAGGGTTTCCATGTGATCTTCTAACATAGAATTTAAGATATCTAATTTAACGAGTCCTCTTCAAAAACTCTATCTCTAATTTGATCCGAGTTACTTCAGGCGTCCCACAAGGAAGCCACCCTGGCCCACTTCTTTTTACTTTATTCATAAACGATCTCCCTCTAGTCTTAACAAAGTCGCGTGTCCTTATGTACGCAGATGACGTCAAGTTATGCCTGCAATATAACCAAATTTTTGCAGTTCAGACATATTATATAATCGGACCTAAATGCTTTTTAAACATGGTGTTGTGAAAATCTTTTTAATTTAAAAAGCGCTAAGTTTAATGTAATGACATTTTTTAGGGTGAACCCACAATATGCCACGTATACGCTGGGTGGCTGTGCGTTGTCTAGAATCACGCATGTTGATGACCTTGGCGTCCTTTTTGACCCAAAACTTAAGTCTTGTGACCATATTACTTCTATGGTAAATAAAGCCAGGGGAGTACTCGGATTTATTAAAAGGTGGTCAAAGGAATTCGATGATCCCTATGTTACAAAGACTCTGTTCATTTCACTAGTCCGTCCAATCCTGGAGTACTGTTCAGCAGTTTGGAGTCCTCTGTATGGTGTACATATAGACCGGATAGAGTCTGTGCAAAAGAAGTTTTTATTATTTGCTCTACGGGGCCTTAACTGGAATAAAAGCCTTTTTTTACCATCCTACTCAAGAACTTCTTTTAATTAATCTACCATCCTTATTAAACCGTAGAACGATGCTAGGCACAACTTTTATTTATAAACTTATTCACGGGGATGCGGAGAGTCCCGAGTTACTGGGTCGCATAAACTTCTCCGTGCCTAATAGAATTACCAGGAACTATGTTCCTCTTTCTTTAAATATTTGTAGATCCAACTATGATATGCATGAACCGTTTAGAGTACTGTGTAACGACTATAATAGACTATACCATGTTATTTCTACTACCGACTCTTTGCCAAGAGTAAAAGCATTAATTTAATCTTAATTAGCACAAAATTAGTATTAGTCTCGTACGTATTTCTAACTTAGTCTGTCCGCTTCTATATTATCCTTTTTCACTTCTCGCGATCTCGTTTTAACGCCCATTAGGGAATAGGGCTCCGTGTCGTAAGGGCCACTTGTTTGCGCTGATCATATTGCATCAACGTCCGAAATATATAAGGTATTGTAAAAGTTATGCCCTCTTCCCATAGAGTCCATCCGTCTGAAACGGTTGCGATTTTTGACAAATGTGAAACTCCGATTCCCACAGAGCACATCCACCATCCACCATCCGATAACAGCTGATCTGAACAGCTGTGGCTCATCATTTTAGCCCGTTGCATTTTGCACAACATTTAAAATGAGCACAACAGCGTTATAAATGATACTTGGTAACAGACTGCAAGTGATCTACGCGAACAATCAAAACGAACTAATACGTCTGCAGATTTTTGCCAGCCTGCAGACAAAATATGAACAGCTATTGCCCAATATTGTCTAAATGGTAACAAATCAAGTTCATTATATATAAATGTTTGTTTTTTGTTTTATTATAATTTTATATTTTATTTCATTTTAAATGTTCTGCTCAATGTTGAGCATACCTATGCGCCTAGGAAAGAGTGGAGCAACACCTAATGCTGCCACACGGATGGAGCAGTAATTAATTAATTATTACAAGTATAAACAGCATTTTTTGAATTGGCGCCTTCCTGTTCAAAAGTTACCAGCCATTATTTTTTTAAATTTTCCTAGTGAATGTTCCAATTTCCACTGTCAAGAAGAAGAACTCAGAGTTGCACCAAAAAAAACATCGCCTAACTATCGCATAAAAAAGTCCGTCAAATTTGGATGGGGAACTAACTGGGAATTTTCGGAACGGCAAAACCTTATGGACCATCCGTTGGTGGATGGTGGATGGAGCTCTGTGGGAAGAGGGCATTAGTGCCTTAAATCATAACACAAGGAAGTACTAAAAAATAAAAAACCTTAGTTCTGCCCCACCAGTGGTAAGAGACATCGCCAGGCGATCGAAATGCAGCTTGACGGAGATGCCTATTGTTATGGAACTGCATATTGTTCTTCCTGGGACGGCCCCGGCTAGCTTCGGAATCCTTAGGGCGGAGTACCCCCAATGTCCCTACAGCCCCACAACATTAAATATCGATGACTATCGACGTCTCGCTCTACAAATACTAACATCTCTAATAACCTAAACGTAAACAAACGAAACAACAAACAAATCGGGACCAATACGACGGAAAAGTGGCATCAGATGTGGCTGCCACAGCGCACCCTCCCTTTCTGTGGTGCCCGAGGGAGGCACCACCCATCGTTAGCGGCCGGAATCACTGCCAGGCGGTCTACGACCGGCCCATCTCCCCCAACAGGTAAATAACTTACTCCATCATTTTCAACTTGCCTCTTACGATTTAATATTTACAACTTATATTCATTTCAGGTAAGGATGCTTCTTTATATGCGTGACCCTAAGCGCACCAGCATTTTGAAAATAATACTAAGGGGTCACAGCGGTAGTACCGACAAGGTCGGGAAACTAGCTACGGTCACCGCGGAACCAAATCTTCGCGCAGGGTTGGTTGGGTCTACTGCACCATTTCGGGTCACCTAATCCCGGGAAGCTCCGAGGGATAAGAAGGGACGTGCGTATGTATAAATATATATAAGGAAAAGTGCCTATAGACCTAAGGGTCTCCCTCACTTTTAGGGATTCCCGCGACCAAATAGCTGGGTTTAACGAGGGGCGAGAATGGAAGGACGCAGGTAAATCCGCATCAATTTACAACGATGGTAAGTACAATTTACAAATTTAATTTTCTTAAATGACTAACTATTTGTGTTTTTGCAGGTGTGGTGCGGAGATCGGTACCACGCCTTGGTTTGGCCACTGTGGATCGCGACGTGGGAGAGGCCGCGTGGTGAAGGAGCACAGTCAGGGTCGCGACGCAGCGCTGATCGGGTTCTACGTGCCCGGAATGGACTCACCGAGGTAACGTGGAATTTTGTTGTGGTTAAATAACCTAACTGCTGGCGGCGGTTGCTAGTCGACCTGGCTGGCTATCGCTGCCTTCGGCTGTTGCTGCTGCCGGTGGATGTTGCTGCTGCCGGCGGCTGTTGCTGCTGGCTGCGGCGGTTGCTGCTGCCTGTTGCTGTTGCTGCTGCCGGTGGCTGTCGCTGCTGCCTGCGGCTATTGGTGGCTGATCACTACCACGAGGTGTTTTTGCTGCCCTTCCTCCGAGAGGAAAATCGAAGAAAATCGAATTAATTGCCGGGGACCTATGTACTAGGGTCCTCGGTGGACTTTTTCTTGGGCTATTTTAAGATAACAAATAGAAAAATCACGTCGACATGGCTTCGATGTCTGGCAGAAACTAAACCCTATACCTGACTTACGCAATGTCATGCTCATCACACCATATTCCATTTCCCTCTCCCAAAAGTGGGTCATTGGGCGAATCCAAGGCCATCCTAGCCATACCCAGAGCGAACCGGGCTATTTTAAATAGCTAGATAGCCAAGGGCATCAGCAGAAGGGGCGCCACTTCAGTAGGGGCAACCCACCACCCACCAAACTTTATCGATACCAAAAACGAATACCTCCTTCCTTTTTCTTCCAGCCGATTCCAACATGAAATGCAACACTATGCATATCTCAACCATCAACAACCAGATGCTGGATGGATTTAAGGAACACTCTCTCCAATGAGTACAAAACCCAGACGTCCTGCAAAGACGTAAGACGGCTGTATAACACCCCCTTTCCCGGGTGTATACGTAAGTTCGTTGAGGATATAGTCGTCCGATCCTTTTGAAATTTCGCAGGTCGGATTGATTGGTTAAAAATAAAACCATAGAAAGTCCCAACTTCCTAACTTTACAAACACCAAAGTTATGGCATTTCCGATCAATCATATAGGATATAGTCGACTGATCCCGGCCGTTATATATTGCGTGCAAAGGAACGAAGGGTGTGTGCAAAGTTTCAATTTGATATCTTTAAACCTGAGAGACTAGTTCGCGTAGAAACAGACAGACGGACAGACGGACAGACGGACATGCGGACATGCTTATATCAACTCAGGACGCGATCCTGATCAAGAATGTATATACTTTATAGATGTCTGCTTCACTGCGTTGCACACTTTTGACCAAAATTATAATATCCTCTGAGAGGGTATAATAACAACGAACCTTTATATGAAAACCATCCAATATATCAAGCAACAAAACAAGAATTTCAACAAGGTTTAAAATATAGTCAGGGTAGGATTATCAATCACAACGAAATGGGGCTAATGCGCCCAATCGACCAATAAAAAGAAATCGCAAAAGTATGAAAATGGAAACAGAAAATTTTCATCAGCAAGCCTCGGACACAGAACAGGAAGTAGAAACCCCTACATACGAATTATCATGAATGATCAAGAGTTCCGATGTGCTGTAGACACAGGCTCTTCTATTAATTTAATTAAAGAAATTTACTTTAATTTACGACCAAAAATACACCTCTTAAAGTTCATACCATAAAGTTCATACCATAAATGAAGCCGTGTCATACCACGCAAGTTAGATTTTTCCGACCAAACAAACATTTTGGGTCCATAATTTTTCCGATAGATATGATATGATCATAGGAAGAGAATATCTCGAAGCATGTAATGCAATTATTAATTATAAATCAATAACAGTTAATTTAAACGGTTATCAATTCGGAATGAGATATGATTATAACGATTTCGAATATAAACAAGGAGAAGCAGAAATTGATTGCTGCGATCCCCTATTTACAACAGATTCATCATTTTATTTTGGAATACATAATGACTTCCAGGAAACCAATAAGTTTAGATTAGAACATCTTTATGACGAGGGAAAAGATAATCTAAAGAGATTGATAATTTGACTTTAACTAGTACTACAATCATGTCATACAAAAAAGTGCAAGCGGTTTACAAAAAAAACAATAACAAATATCCTCAAGCTTACGACCGAGAAGTCGATTCGCAAATGAAGGATATGATAAAACAGGGTATAATTCGAAAGTCGAATTCCCCTTATTGCTCACCTATTTGGATAGTACCCAAGAAAAGTGATGCATCATGAATAAAAAGGTTCCGTATCGTAATTGACTGTCGTAATTTAAATGAAATTACGGTAGATGGCAAATACCCTACCCCGGTCATGGATGAAATATTGGACAGACTTGATAGATGTTAATATTTTACCACTATTGACCTCGCAAAAGGTTTTCACCAAATACAAATGGATGAAAATTCTATTACAAAGCTATTTCCACCAAAAATGGTCATTTCGAATATACTCGAATGCCTTTTGAATTAAAAAATGTTCCTGCTACCTTTCACAGATGCATGAACACTCTTTTAGAAGATTTAATCTACAAGGATTGTTTGGTCTACATGGACGATATTATCGTGTACTCCACTTTATTGGAGAAATATGTATTATGTATGTATTATTATCACAAAATCATAAACCAATCTGCTATGCCAGCAGAATTCTTAATAAACATGAAATCAATTGTTCGTCATTAGAAGAAGAACTTTTAGCTATTCTCTGGGATACCAAATATTTCAGGTCCTATCTTTTTGGAAGAAAATTTCTGATCCTAAGTGATCACAGGCCTCTAGTATGGCTTAATAATATAAAAGAACCAAATATGAAATTACAGCGCTGGAAAATCAAACTAAATGAGTTTGATTATGAAATAAAATATTTGCCCGGTAAAGAAAACCAAGTGACAGACGCCTTATCTAGAATAAGAATAGAGGAAGCTTATTTAGGTAAGACTTCCAGTAATTCAAATACAATAACAACCGTAGCTACAGTGCATAGTGCACCAGAAGATAACCAAAGCTACATTTCAATAACAGAAAGACCACTTAATTATTAAAACAGACAATTAGAATTTATAAGAGGAGACTCAAATGATGTCGAAATAATAAATTACTTTCCCAAAACAAAAATCATAAAAACTTTTAAAGAAATGACCATCGAATACGCAAAACAATTAATAATCGAATACTTTTTTACTACGAAAAGCGTAATATATTTTCCATTCCATTCCTACATGTTCCGGTCAAATTTTACCGTGCTTAACGCTTGGTTGTAGGGTCCAATTTTCACAATATCCAAAACAGTTTTATAATTTTGTTAACACTAAACATAAATCAGCCTGTTACCCACCATCGCTATCATTTAAAAATTGTACGGCAAATACTGACCAGGCAATTGCCGATCTATTTGCCCAGTTTTTTCAGACAACATATTCTGTTTCATCCCGTCCAAATCCGTCTTATTTAAATGCCATATCCAAGGTTATCCGAGGTTAAGCGAAAGCTCCCTTCTCTTGGATCTCCTTAAAGTTAAACCAGTCTATTCACCGGGTCCCGACGGAGATCCAGGCTGCGTGCTTAAATACTGTGCTGAAACTCTGTGTAGACTTCTGCACAAATGGTTTACCTTGTCTTTGAAAACTTCTCATTTCCCACTTATTTGGAAGGAGTCATTTGTTATTCACCTTCATAAGAATGGAAATAAATCGAACACAAGTAATTATAGAGGCATATCCAAATAATCCGCCATCCCAAGGATTTTCGAAAATGTTATTACACACCACTTGCAACATCTTTGTATATCAATTATATCTCCATGTCAACATGGATTTATAAGGCGAAGATCTACGACCTCTTGGAGCTAACGCCTTTTTATACCCTTGCAGAGGGTATTATAATTTTGGTCAAAAGTGTGCAACGCAGTGAAGGAGACATCTCCGACCCTATAAAGTATATATATTCTTGATCAGGATCACCTCCTGAGTTGATATAGCCATGTCCGTCTGTCCGTCTGTCCGTCTGTCTGTTTCTACGCAAACTAGTCTCTCAGTTTTAAAGCTATCGGATTGAAACTTTGCACACACCCTTCTTTCCTTTGCACGCAGTATATAAGTCGGAACGGCCGGGATCGGCCGACTATATCCTATAGCTGCCATATAACTGATTGATCGGAAATGCCATAACTTTCGTGTTTGTAAATTTAGGAAGTTGGGATTTTCTATGGGTTTTATATTTGGCCAATCAATCCGACCTACCAAATTTCATAAGGATCAATTTCATAACTGATTGATCGGAAATGCCATAACTTTGGTGTTTGTAAAGTTAGAAAGTTGGGATTTTCTATGGGTTTTATATTTGGCCAATCAATCCGACCTACCAAATTTCATAAGGATCGGCCGACTATATCCTATAGCTGCCATATAACTGATTGATCGGAAATGCCATAACTTTGGTGTTTGTAAAGTTAGAAAGTTGGGATTTTCTATGGGTTTTATATTTGGCCAATCAATCCGACCCACCAAATTTCATAAGGATCGGCCGACTATATCCTATAGCTGCCATATAACTGATTGATCGAAAATGCCATAACTTTGGTGTTTGTTAAGTTAGGAAGTTGGGATTTTCTATGGATTTTATTTTTGGCCAATCAATCCGACCTACCAAATTTCATAAGGATCGTTCGACTATATCCTATAGCTGCCATATAACTGATTGATCGGAAATGCCATAACTTTGGTGTTTGTAAAGTTAGGAAGTTGGGATTTTCTATGGATTTTATTTTTGGCCAATCAATCCGACCTATCAAATTTCATAAGGATCGGCCGACTATATCCTATAGCTGCCATATAACTGAACGATTGGAAATGCCATAACTTTGTTGTTGTTAAAGTTAGGAAGTTCGGATTTTTTATGAGTATTAAGAATGCATCATATGAATAATTTTGGAGAATATAATTTACAGAGTATTCTGCAAGGGTATATCAACTTCGGCTCCGCCCGAAGTTAGCTTTCCTTTCTTGTTTATTAAATGGCTTCAGAAAGAACATGCAGACTGAATTAGTTTACACTGATTTTAGTAATGCGTTTGATTCAGTAAATCACTCGCTTCTTGTATAAAAACTAGACTTATTAGGGTTTCCATGTGATCTTCTAACATAGAATTTAAGATATCTAATTTAACGAGTCCTCTTCAAAAACTCTATCTCTAATTTGATCCGAGTTACTTCAGGCGTCCCACAAGGAAGCCACCCTGGCCCACTTCTATTTACTTTATTCATAAACGATCTCCCTCTAGTCTTAACAAAGTCGCGTGTCCTTATGTACGCAGATGACGTCAAGTTATGCCTGCAATATAACCAAATTTTTGCAGTTCAGACATATTATATAATCGGACCTAAATGCTTTTTAAACATGGTGTTGTGAAAATCTTTTTAATTTAAAAAGCGCTAAGTTTAATGTAATGACATTTTTAGGGTGAACCCACAATATGCCACGTATACGCTGGGTGGCTGTGCGTTGTCTAGAATCACGCATGTTGATGACCTTGGCGTCCTTTTTGACCCAAAACTTAAGTCTTGTGACCATATTACTTCTATGGTAAATAAAGCCAGGGGAGTACTCGGATTTATTAAAAGGTGGTCAAAGGAATTCGATGATCCCTATGTTACAAAGACTCTGTTCATTTCACTAGTCCGTCCAATCCTGGAGTACTGTTCAGCAGTTTGGAGTCCTCTGTATGGTGTACATATAGACCGGATAGAGTCTGTGCAAAAGAAGTTTTTATTATTTGCTCTACGGGGCCTTAACTGGAATAAAAGCCTTTTTTTACCATCCTACTCAAGAACTTCTTTTAATTAATAATCCATCCTTATTAAACCGTAGAACGATGCTAGGCACAACTTTTATTTATAAACTTATTCACGGGGATGCGGAGAGTCCCGAGTTACTGGTTCGCATAAACTTCTCCGTGCCTAATAGAATTACCAGGAACTATGTTCCTCTTTCTTTAAATATTTGTAGATCCAACTATGATATGCATGAACCGTTTAGAGTACTGTGTAACGACAATAATAGACTATACCATGTTATTTCTACTACC